ACTAATTTATCTTAAGATAGAGAAAAAAATTACTTGGAGAAAGTTATTTCGTTAAACTTAAAAATAAACACTTGTTTTTTTCAAAACAAAACTAACTTTCGTAAAGTATATTGCTAAAATATTTTTTAAAAGACCAAGCTTTTTAAAAAAAAGTTAAAAAATATGCAATTGTTTTAATTGTAAAAAAAGTAAATCATAATTTTACAAAAAGTCTATCTTTATGCTAGTCTTATTTGTATTTATTTCCCGCACTTTATTCAGATTTTCCATAAGAAAAAAAATAAGGAAACGTCGTGCAACAACGCAGTTAAGATTATAGCTTTATAATAATAAAAAAACTAGTTAAGAGCAATAGTTTAGTTAACATAACCATCGGAGTTCATGAATATTTTTCTTATATTGCATGATTTGTCATTAAAATTTGATTTTCTTATAACGTTTCATTATGCACTCAGAAAATACTCAACTTTGAGTCAGAATGTGACCTTATTGAACAGCTCAAATTTGTTACAACTTTAAGTAGGTTTTAAATTGGGATTGGATAAAAGTATGGATCATTAATCTTATTCAAATTATCTTTATATGGCGAAATACACAGAGAACAAATACTTAGTAAAATTACTGGACTTACGTGATAATGACATTTCTGAAAATAAAAAAACCTAGTTCTGGTTTTAAAAACCAAAATATACGGTATTTAACTCATTCATATGGAAACGCTTCCGTTCATGTTTGAAAAGTTTAACGGATATTTTGATTTTCAGAATTTTAGTTTTCATTTCTACACATTTTAGTAAAAATACGAAACAGAAAAGCAAATTTTACCGAATAAAGGGTTTTATACCTTGTTCTAAGGTATTATGAAAAAAATTACTAAAGGTAACCACATTTAGTACCAAACAGCATGGTAGTGAAACCATACCCTATTGCTAATTTCGAAAGTCATCATCAAAGCACTACGGTCACCGTGCTTTTTGGTGTTTCCGTAAGGCCAGAAACATGATAAATTATACCATATTCTGGTAGTTTTAACCATACTTTTTTCTCAATGTATAACGGAAAAAAATTAAAAAAATTTAAATTATAAAAATATAATTCCCATTTGTTATACATCTTAAAATACGCAATACAAAAAAAAATGCATAAAATGCTCAAATACACAAATATGCCAGATAACAAGTTATTTCTTTAAGCATTTCAATTCACAATCACCCAAAATAAACTCAGTTTAACTACTATATATTCGGAGGAGGAGACATATTTTTACTCCTGAAATGATTAAAATGAAGGTAAGATAAAAATTTACAATGAAATTAATTTTTTTAAGGATCAAAGAAACAGTGACTGAGTTGGTTATCAGAACTAACTTTAATTGATTCTGAGAAACAATCTGGCTTCTGATAATTGTTTCTCACTTTTACTGTTAATTGATTTTCAAAAGGATTGAAAAGATATTGACACAAAATTATGTAAATTAATTTGTCATTAATTTAAATTTAAGATTGTCAAAAACTTAAAACATCGAATAAAAAATAGTAATGCATATTTTTAGATTAAATATAAGTATGAATATTTATGTATGAAATACTTATTTTATTAACGTAAAATATAACTTAAACAAAAATTTATTAAAATTTAAAACAATCTGTAAAATGGACTATAAATAAAAAAACTTAAATATGTGCTCAACTTTTTATAACAAAAACAAATTAATGGTAAAAAGATTTCAATTTCTTTCCATAAATTCGGTGATAAAAATAGAAAATTAAGGAGTCAAATTTTTTAAAGTATTTTTGGAAAGTTCGTTAATATTTGTATTAATTTTAAGAATAATAAAAACTTTAATTAAAAATTATCGTCTCTAAATTTAATGAATAAAACTTTAGTTAAGATTTTTGAAAATTTAATGTAATTCGCCAATTTTCAAATCAGATGAAAAGAAAGAGATATAGAATAAAAAATGTACAAAATATAATGATTTCCTGGATAAAAGGCGTTTTTTGTATGAAGGGGATATTGAGCACAAGAACATTCTCAATTATTCCAGAAATAGTTTCAAAAACTCAAATTTTTGCACATCTTGATAAAAATGGCAAAAAATTAAGACATACTAAAGGTTTATCAAAGTTTACTTAAATCCAATTTCAAACCTTTAGATTTTAAAACTTCTTTCTGTTTTAACAAAAATCATTTATTTGATAATTTTAACTCAGTTGTCTTAAAAGAAAATAGCGTAAATATATAAGAAATTTTATTTTCTCATTCGAAATTTTTAAAATTACTCCACCCTCTAAAACTTTTAAAGGGTACTTGGTCGAAACAGTTTTTCCTTATCAAAATTTTTTGAATAATAATAAGTTTATTATTTCATTCAGAAATTATATTTTTAAAGAAATTGCTCCATCCCAAAAACTCTCCGTTCATCCTGTAGTATACATTAAACATAGAAAAAAAAATACTTTCTCTACGCTATTTATTAAAATGTACGAAAAATGTTTCATCTTCTTGATATTTATCTTTTTAAAACTCATCACTAACAACTTTTTATTCGCAAACAGGCGATGGAGTGATGGGACTTAGCATTGCTAAGAAAAGAAGAAAAAAATCAATTAAAATAGTTGGAATTTTCCTACTTTTTCAAGCATTTTTTATTGCGTACGAACAGAAAAGTTTAGATACAAAAACGATTCCCAAGTGGTTGCGAGAGGTGTAAATAAAAGAAAAACAATCTATTATTTCAGGAATGGTTTTAATGGGTTTTATTATTTCCGCTAAAAGTAAACATAGAAATTCATTAACGTCCAATGTGAAAACCTGCCATCCAGAAAGTTAATTAAACTCTTTTAACGAGTTTCGTAATATGATTTAAACTTTTTTTAAAGTAACAAACATATTAAATAGTTCTTTATTATAAAAGAAACAATGAGTCAGTGAATGAAGTCAGGTATAGTTCCGATGAAGGGGAAAATGCAGTGCTTTTTAAACAACAAATGATCTACTAAGAGAAAAATTTTGATGATTTCAATAGGTTTGTGCATTTATTTTTTTGCTGAAAAACAAAACAAAAGAGAAAAATATCGTTGTCACAATCATAAATCTCATTTATTAATTCTTCTTCAAAAAAATAATGTAATGTTAAATCTATGTAGTTAAATACACCGTTGTCTTTTTCGTTTTTTTTTTTAAATAATTTTTTGTTAATTAGTATATAAGAGGATTTCAAGCTCAGGCATCTGGCATTTATCACTGCCAGGTATGACTTTAAGGAAGCAAAAAAATATATCTGAAAATATGTAAACATTTCTGTATAATGAATGTTTCTGATAGAAATTATAAAATGTTAAAAATATTTGAAATTGTTTTGGACACAATAGACAGGTATTACTCTCATTTCGAATTAATTTTATCTTAAGTTTAGAATATGTGATTCGTGCTTAAATAATACCAATTTGCTCATGTATTTCGGTTAAAAAAACACTTTAAATCGCATTAGCAATTCTGGAAGTTAGTTTTGTTCATATTATTGAAAATATTGCATTGTACGATAAAGATATGAACACTGGCAGAGGAGAGTCAGCCCATCTTTGAACCATAATGTTAATACCTTGAATCATAATACCGTGCAAATTTCCTGCAACTGAAACACGATAAGTTGACTCTTGCATTCAAATTCAATTATAGTATCATTTAATCATGTTTAAAATGTATGATAAAATGGTTGAACTTTGCCTCATATTCAGATTGCAGCAAATTTGAAAGATTGGAAAGATTGTCAATAAGGTTTGACACTCAACAAAATTTCAAGCAATGCTTAAACACTTTGTTTTAAAAAAGATCTTTAATAACTTGATATTAGGCAAGAAAATTTCGAAAACAATAGGGTGCCTGCAAGGGATGTCGCTCTTGCGTATCGAACCTGATTAGCTGCTGAATCGTGATATTTGCTTACACTAAAATTTCAACAGCCAATCAGGTTCGACACCCAAGCGTGGCGTTGCTTGCAGGCATCCAATATAAATCTGATTTGAGAATAGTTTCAGTGTAATAATAAACAACGTCTTAATAGCCGTGACGTTAATACGCCGTCTATAATTAAATACTTCGTCTGTATTCGCCTTCTCTTCTCGGCTTACAGGAAAAAGTCCTATGCTTTAATTTCTACATTGGTATGCATGATTGCAAAATAAGTTGCTTTTTTTAAGTCTGAGAATTTAAAGGAAAATTAAAAGCTTTTGCGTATTGCCTGAGTATTCCCATATATTTTTAAAATAATTTAAATTCTTGTAATTTACCTTTTCTCTTGTTTTTTGCTACCATATCTTATTCCATCACCAGCAATTCTACACTTTAATAAACTAATATTAGTTATAACTCTTAATATTAATTACTTAAGTTTATAGTGCGTTGACAATCAATATGGTTATTAGTTTAAAAAATGTCAAACATAATCTATAAATTTGAAAATAATACTTATTAAAAATGAATCAAAAAGAAGTATGCTCTTCAGTTTTAGTTACTTGGAGGGTATTTCGTAACGTAAAGACCACCCTTAAGATGTATTATAAGAATCTTTATAAAATGAAAATATATATATAAAAAGACATACACGTTGGGAGTTAAATATTGTTTTTACGAGGAAAAAAGTAAATATAATAAACAGTAAAAGAGATTTGAATGCGAGAGAAGCAGTTGAAACACTATGGTTAAAATCATTTTCAAGTTTCAAGCTCCAACTAAATCTGTTTTCAAATTTCTTTTTCACCCACTTCTACTACAATTTGTCAAATTTAGATATTATTTTTTTCCTCTTAAATATTAATTTGCCATCCTCATGTGCAACCTTTTTTATATTTTAATTTTGATAAGGATTTTAAAAATATACATTAAATACAGAAGTCTTTTTATATTTACTTATAATTAAAATAAAAATTAACGTGCATTTTTAAGCAATGCTTTCATTTTAGCAATAGGTAGATATCTAAAAATTTAAATAAGTTTACCTCTACCCCTTGTCCTTTCTAGAAACAAAGTGAACTCGTGATTCGTGCCTGGGAAATCAATGGTCAGTAGAACATGCTCTTCACGTAACTTTTTACGAGGCATTAGATCCTTCAGTAGAATACCCACATCTATAGGTGAATCAAGAGAAAGTGTCGACTGCAAGTTCGCGGACAATTCTGAAAAAGAAAGACAAATATTTTTACACTGATAACCGAAAGTATTTCAGATATTTTTTCCTTTTGCCATGGATAGCCGAAATCGCAGTAAATGATGGAATATTAACAAAACATTTTTGTCACTTTTTGTTTGTTTCTTATCTTAATAGGGCAGAAAAAAATATATTTTGCATTCCTCCTTAAGTATTCATAACTTTTGTAAAGTTAGGAATGTACTGAGAGATTGTAGGATAATTTGATAAGTTTTATCGTTATTATGCCCATATACTCATTGACAAAATTTTAAGGAGCAAATTTTAACAATCATTTTTTAAAATGTTGTAAATTAACATTTTATTTGCGATATCTAACTAATTATTGATGGAGTCATCAGTAAAAATAAAAGGTTGAACATTATTAAGGGTTTAAATATTAATTAAAGATGTAGAAAGTAAAAAAAAATATTTAAAATTTTATTTTGAATTCGAAAATTATTTTTATTGATATGAAATCTAAAAAGCAAAATCCAAACAAAGCAAGGAATTGTTAAACAAGCCTAGCTAGAATCGACATGAATTTGGCTTTATTTGTACGTATTTAAATAACTTTGTGTCATCATATTTCTAAAAACTATTGAAAATCGATAGGTTGAACTTTAGGTGTTCTTTGCGCAAGTAGAAAATAAAATATTGGCTTTGAAATATCTTTTATAAAAACAAGACGTCTCTTATTGATCGTTTTGCTTCTTTAAAAGAGACTTAAATAAACACGGAAACTATGTTAATGTAATGTATGCCAATATTTCAGAAGGAAATAAAAACTTTTATCATAATATGCATTCAGACAATCTTTAAAATTCAATGTTTAAATATGAATTCTCTTTTATACCGAATTGGAATTATTATATAGCATCATATTGTAACATCAGAATCAGCCGATTCTTTAATAAAGTAATGTTTTAACAACATTAAATATCATTTTTTTCCAATGCCCACCTGTGTTAACATCCGTCAATTCAGGCATATACAGGGCGATTTTGTTGGCCTCTCTTTCAGGGGCACCATATTAGGTGGGCCAACGTCACTCCCACAGTGAGGACAGATAGTACAGAGAAGGAAAGAACATCCATGCCTTGCCCGGGATTCGAACCCAGAGCCTTTTTGATGCAAGGACAGGTCCCTGCCCCCTACACAGGCCGGTCGGCACATTAAATATAATAATAGGTGATATTATACGTAATTTTAACATTGTAAAATATTGCAGTTTTCATTTGCGTTGTGTTAATTTATGAAGTCAGGATGGTGCAATGATTAAGTCACTGAGCTATCCTTGGGAAAGGCTAGAGTTTTATCTTTATTGGAGACCAGATACCCACCCAGCTTTATATGAATTAGTACCAGCTTGTCTGGGAAGTAAAGGTAGGGTAAGCATAATGTTGATCTCAATGCTACCATTATGTCATTGGTCTAGAAATTGTAAAGCCTTAACCTCTATGATCCTCCGGTCAACAATTGACTCTTAACTAGTAGATGGCAACTGCGATGAAAGGTTTTCATGATTTTCCTCTGAATGTAACACAAATGCGGGTTAGTTCAATCAAAAAGTTATTCATCTAGGAAGGCTAGATTCCCAATATTTAACCCAGGAGTTCTGGATTGGATTAAAAATTACAAGGTTACAGAAATGAACATTGATAGTCAAGATAAAATTATTTACAATATCATTTATTTATGAATATATATATAAGATGTTAAAATTTGTTCACATTCTTTTATTTTATAAATACATTTTTTATTAATGTATTTTTTACTAATAATAAGAAAGCAATATTTTAAAGAGAAGAGAATATATCTATGACCATTTATATGTAACATAAAATAATTCTAGTATTTACATAGAATAATTAATAGGATAAAGTCTTAGTTTTATTTAAATGCAAGGGGACATCATCCCCAGCTCGCTTCACTCATCAACTCCTATAATTCTATGCAATCAGTTTTGCATTGAATGTTTTGCTAAGGAACTGGATTGTTATATCAACATTAAAAAGTACTTTATTGAAAGACCTCAAATTTGTTTTATTGTATTAACCAAGATTTGATTTCAAAGCTTTAGCTTCCCATTCTAATGGGACAAAATATAAACCTTTTTATTTTGTTCGGTTTCCATCAAAACTTCATTTGCAATTTTGCTCTTTTAAATTCATTTTAAAATTTTTGGTTATTATTAGAAATTGCTAACTGCTTTTTGTCAAAGCACAATAATTAATGCTTTAAAAATTTTAAATTCATTAATTTAATTGCAAATTGTTATTAAACACAGCTTTACATAATATTAATTTTAAAAGTAACTGCAACATATTAAAAAGCAACTTTAGTTAGATTTAATAACTTTTAACTGCAACAAAATGACTTAACCATAAAATGTTGCCTTCTAATTTCTTTATTATGCAGTAAAAGTAACATTTCTTTAAGTTTTAAGCCATTAGTTTTGAATACTAATCAATTTAAAAATACGTAATAATTTTAGACTATTATTACGAAAGGCAAATAATAGTGCTGATAAATACGGTATAAGCTATAGATAAATAATTTGTACGAGAATCTTTTTCGTAAATAAAGGATGTATACCGTAGGATTTTCTGGTGAATAAGAATGAGCTGATTATAATAAAAAACGGTTTTTGACCATTATGTCTTATTTTCATAATTAAAATTGTCTCAAAAATCAATTTTTTCAATCGCAAGAAACTTTTTGTGTTTCTGATATTCTTGAAAGAATTATGGTTGAGAAATGTTAGATCCCATTACTAATTTAAATTTTGTTATTAAATCAGAATTGACTAATGGTATTTTATTGCAAAGTATGGAAACATGAAAACTTCTTATAATAAAAACTTCCAGATTGAATTATTTATACTACACAAAGAATTGGTTCATGTGTAAAAAAGGAATAAAAAGCAAACAAATTATATCCCAATTTGAAAGGAATATTATCTGTTTAATTCGTTGTAATGGAATCTTATTATGGAAAAAAATACTTCTGAACAGATTAAAAAATTAATCTATTTATCAATGAAAAGAACGATTTTAAAAGAATTAAATAACGAAAAAATATTCTCTCTTTTTTATCTTACTTCGATCATAGGTCATGAAAGATGAATTTGCCGAAATAAGTGTCCATGTAAAAAAACTAATGATTAAAGCCAACATCATGTGCTTTATGAAAGGCGAAATCGCGCCAATAAACTTCATCAAAATTAGAAAAAAATTATGCCTAGTTCATTCATAAATTGTGTTGACAATCATAATTATTTCTTAGAATATATTCATTAATCTAAAAGGATAACACGACTCAAAAATTTCTGTGTCTTGGTTAAATAACTTTCACCAGGATTCATTACCACGTGTTTTCAAAGTACACTTGGTCAACATTACTTTTTCCACTTACTCCAAGTAACTCTCGATATTCTCTGAGAGAAAATGATCCAGTAAAGCTATTACTTTGGTGGATAATGCTTTTGGCGAGTTTGGCGCTGTTATTTGGCTCAATTGTTTCAGTGAGGAAATGTTTAAATTGTAAGAGTTATGAGAATTTGTCTTTCCAATTAAGATAAAGGCTTTTAGTACTGACTTCATGACAGAATAAATTTATTGCCCCTATTTTTTGTTTTCTAAAAACATTTTAAGTAAGAAATTTATCGAAGATTTTAAAATTAATACGAATCAATAATATAACATAATTAATAAAATTCAAAACTATGACTTATGTTTCCATACCAAAAGCATGATTTAAGTTAGTCGACTACATTGTAGATTGCGAGATATTTTTCCTACTAGTAAATCGCTGAATATAAGGGGAAAAAATGAATTGAATGATACGGATTATATTAATCTATGCTAAAGAAAATGATATAAAACATCTAAATTCATATAAATTAAAAATTTTGGCTATAGCAACATAAATGATTAACTTCGGAGGATATTATTTTACTACATTATAATTCTGCGAAGAAGTATATAATAAAATAAAAAAGTACATAATGAAATAAAAATAATCGAAATTAAAAATAGCGTTTTTTTTAATTGTTTTTTTAACTTGTAAGTATGACTAGATTTAATATGAATCATGATTAAAAAAATAATAGGATGTGACGTAGGAAATATTAGTAAGAAATTCTTAGTGCATGGTTTCAAATTCTAAGATTATTAAATGTTTCTCTTAAATTTTAATTAAAAATATTAATTAATAATATAGCCCAGATTCCCTTATTTAAAAGTTATGTTTTATATTCATAAGTCAGATGGAATAAATTTGTCAAAATGTTAGACTTAATGCAATGGGGCATTTTACATTTATTTATTCCATTTTTTCTATTTTAACATTTTAAATGCATTAATTTATTACTATAAAAACGTCTCTGTGATTACCTTATGACATGTATTCAGAATCCTTCTCAAAAAGGAATGGAAGAAGAAAACACATTAAAAGTTTGAAAAGTAACATTTAAGTGAGAAAAATCTACATTAAAATAAAAACAAACAAACTATAAAGCTATAGAAATCCAACAAATCCCAACTGACATAATCTAAAACAGTATAAGAAACACGCCTACATTTTATAAGACAAATAATTTGGCTTTAATGTTTTTCTTCGAACCTACTTTATTTAATTATTTGACAGATTTTGATAGAGCTTTTGTTTCTTCTTTGCTAATAGATTATTAACTTGAAACTCTTAAAAGCATATTTTCTGACATAATTTTAACAAGGATTTTAGCAATATTTTTCACGGCTGATGGCTACAAAACCCTCTGTATACAGTTACATAATCGTATATAAATTTAAGTGAAAGAACTAGGCATAAATAAGATTGAATTCAGCATCATAAGTTAATAGCACATTTTTTTATTGATTCTGAAATAAGGTAAAAAATAATATTATACGATTATGAAAATATAATAGAGTCAAAATGCGCAGTGGAAGAAACAACAATGAAGGTAAATTAATCATTGATTGAATTAATAATAATCATTTAACTATATTTACCGTTTTTTCTTAAAAAAAAATTCTCTTATATCAATACTTTTTCGAACACACACCTACCATGCCATTTTCTTCCTTCCGTCACTTCAGAATACTTATGGAATCACCACTAAACATTCGACCCCCTTATAAGTTCATATCCAGTCATCTAAAAAGTAAAGGTAAGAAACCAATCATAAGCTAAGTAAGTCATTCAATCCAAAGTATCAAATGAAGACATTAGACAAACGCTCCCTCCTTTTTTTTTTAAAAAAAGGAAAAAAACACACGCACACACACACATCTGACCACAACACCAAACTTTCTGCGATGCTCATGAACTGGGACTTTTCTCACACTTAAAAAAAAATGGACAGGAAATATAAAGAGGCCAAGAATTCTTCCTCAAATTAAGCGTTTCCTAAAAGCAGGTTAATTCTCAAACTTAATTTCTTCACAATCAAATCAAATAAATTGATTAATTTTATCTATAGAATAGCAATTAAATTTTCTTAGTTAAATTTATATATTAATTACGTTACGATGCATAAAAGATGATATTGAACTATACAATGATAAAATAATGATTGGAAAACAAACTTAAATTTTACTTTTTAATATAAAACCGTACTTAAACTCTTATATTCGTGTTTGAGGCACATTATTCAGTTAATTACGAAAACGTTTAAGCATATTTTACTGATTAATCTAATAAAAAACTAATCCAATTTCAAGCAAAAATGATGTTTGAGTATCATGTAAATCATGTGTTGAAAATATGCTTAATGTTTTTTTATTTTTTTTTAAAATCCTTGTAATTTTGTATAAAATATATAATAAATATTTGAGATTATATTTGGATAAATTGTTGCAAGTTTAAAATATAAGGCTCCATTAAGGAGACATTCATTTAAGAGTTAAATATACATTACAAAGGAACTGAAAACCTGCGTTTGAAAGTTAGATTTACAGGTATTATAAAATCCAATGCCTACTCCTTAAATTTGTTATTTTTCAACGAAACTAATTGAACTATTATAAAGAAATGTCTCTTAACTCATATAAAACAATTTTTCTAAATAACGACTGCTTTAGGTTTATTTTTGTAAAATTCCTTCATTTTATTATTTCATCCCATAAATGAATTTTGAAAAGAAATATTGAAAAGAAGATACTTCTAAATGCATTCAAAATAATGATTTAGCAAAAACAATCTCATCAAAAGTTATAGAATATGTTTATACAGAATACGATGAAAACTACAAAGTTTTAAGGGGTTACAGTACCTTTGCAACAATTTTTTAAAATAAAGGTATAATCATTCATTTTGAGGATGCTTTACATGTTCATTTAACTTATAATCAATAATTTATCTTCAGAATTAATTAAACTGTTTAAATTTTTGAAATTTTTAAAAAAAAAAGTTGAAAAAATTCAAAATTTTTAAATCTCGAAGGCTTTTTTATTTTATCATATTTTCAAAAAGAAATTTTTTCTTAGTGTTTGCTATATTCATTTTAACAATTTTGTGCATTCATTTGTTGATATATCAATTGGAATATTTTTTATAGATTATTTTGTAAAAAAGTAGAAGAAAAGGGTAAAAATTCCTGTTAGGTATATATAACATGCCGTAAAAACTGTAATACCTCATAAAATTCTTTTTCCATGCACAGTTTAAATAAGTGTATTATACTCAAGATAAAAAAAGTTTACTTCAAAGCTTTATCTTAAATAGAAACAATTCCTTAGGGATTTAATTAAGATTAAAACACAAAATTATCATCTATGAGAAAAAGCACTTTAAAGTCCGACTGCTGAGCAAGTTTCTGTATTAGAACAATCTAAAATCATTCATAACTTTTTTAAAAACATAGATAGAGAGATGAATTTTTTTCAGTGCATTTGAAATAGTTTGAAGTTTTATTATAAGCAATAAAATTTTTTTGGTATTTTTGTTATTTTTTGTGTACTTAAACAAGTTAAGCTGAAATACAGAATGGTTAGAAATGTTTGTTTCTAAGACTAAATTACGTACTCATATAGTTCAATATAGAAATCCTGAAATTTACTAAATTTAAATTAAACTTTCTAAATAGAGGCGCTCCATCCCTTGTTTGCTTTGCTTCAAAACACCTATAATTTCTTAGTATTAATCATCTTTGCTTCCTTTCATCGAAATTCTCAACAAAAAAAAGACCATTTTGTTAACAACATATATTATGATTAAAATTTTATGTAAAACATTTTGTTAGTAATCTTGATGAAATGAACCAATACCTAGATTTAAAATATATTTAAACGCACTCTAAAAATTATTAAACTTGGAAATTAAAATTATGGACATAATAAGAGGAAATTAATGAGAAGTAATTTTACTCGTTAGCCAGACTTCTCCACACGATGGTGTTCCCACCTTAACGTGGTGTTGTGGTTTGTGTGTGTTGTTGATCCCGAGAGCTATGCCGGCGGGAGCTTCGGCTCCTGGCAGGGTCACCCAAGCCGGACTGGTCGGAGGGGAGACACCAGACGAAGAGGAACACCCTGGTCCTCCAGGGTGGGGGTTGGGCGTGGGGCCAACAACCCCACCCTGTAAAAAACTCCATGTTACGAAATCTCAAGTAGAAAATAAACCCGGGCTGACTTTAAGGAAACGGACTGGAAATGGTTTGAGGCATATGAGAATTGGATCGTGGAATGTTCGATCATTGTATAGAAATAAGGGGTTGCAAATGCTGATTGAACAAGTTGACAGCTATAGAATTGATTTGTTGGCTGTGCAAGAAATTCGATGGACAGGAGAGGGAATAATTGAAAAGAAAAATCATACAGTTGTCTATAGCTGTGATAGAGAAAAACACATGTTTGGTACTGGTTTCATATTGAGTAAGAGAATAAGACCACTTCTGATTGATTTTGATTGCAGGACACCTAGACTATGCAAAATAAGGATAAAGGGCATTTTCTTTAACTACAGTTTTATCAACTTTCATGCTCCTACAGAGGACAAAGATGGCGCGGAAAAGGAGCTTTTCTACGAGGAGCTACATAGATTATATAATTCATGTCCTAAAAATGACGTTAAAATCTTTCTAGGGGATGCAAATGCAAAAATTGGAGTGGAAAAAGAGTTCAGGCCAGTGATTGGAGGGTATAGTCTTCATGATATTTCAAATGACAACGGAAAAAGACTCATAGATTTTGCTACAGATCATAATATGGTCATACCAAGTACAATGTTCCAACATAAAAGAATTCATAAAATGACTTGGAAATCTCCTAATGGAAATACTTACAACCAGATTGACCATATTTTAATTGATTCAAGACACAAATCGGATATACTGGACGTAAGATCTTATCGTGGGGCAAACATAGATTCCGATCATTTTCTAGTTCTGGCAGAGGTTAGAGCCAGAATATCAAATATTCGTAAAGCTCGCG